TTCGGAAAGATGGAAACGGTTATTGATTAACGCTGTTCTTCTTATTTTCTTGTGATGTTAGCTACGCTATTATAATTTCAAACTGGACATTTTCATGACTTGAGCAGATCGTGCTAGTGCAGGAGTGAGTAGATAAAGGATAGCCAGCCACCTTCTAGAACGGATGTAGGGGGCCATCTAGCAAGAAACGACAAAGCCACCAAGACAGCGTCCATTTCATCGCAAGGAGAATAATGGAAAGTACTTCTGAGATCCAATTTGGTGGTCTGCAGCGCGTGTGCTAGACTACTAGGTACTTTCAACACACCATCAGATAGAGACCTAGCTTTAGAATGGGAGCGACCGATAAGCTTTGCGGTGCCGCGGGCGGGTCGCACCCACTTCTAACTTGACCAGGTTAACAACTTTCGCTGGACAATGTATCTAGATGAGGGATCTATCACACTGAGGGTATCAGAATAGCTCATTGAGTCTTCGTGTGCTTAGTATTCGACGATGCATTCAGTTGAACTAACCAGCATATTCCAAGAGATAGGTCTTCTGTATGGTACAGCAAGTAGAGGGTGAAACATCAGTGTATGCCGTATACCTTCGACTAAGTTACTTGGCATAGACTAGACCAATCTACCACTATTACTGAATGACTTCTTCCTCCAGTCCAAATTGGCATAAGCAACACAATATTTAGAAAGCAGGCACTAATCTATGTCATTCTGCGTGCAACCAAAGCCGTATCTGAATAGAAACCCGAAATATGACCAGCATATGAACCGTCATCCGTCCCACAAGACTGTACTTTCGCCACAGAGCTGCTCGCTACAACAACCGCACATTGTTACATCCAAGAAGCAACTCAAAACATCTCATGCCAAACACCACTCAACATCCCAATTGCCCCAGCTTGCCAAGAGAACCTCAAATGTAGAACATCGTATCCTTGACGTTGGGATGGATGGTGACCCTGCCGCCGTCCACGGCATCAGCACCACCCCCACCACCGCCGGTGACAACGCTACCGGTCGGCGTCGCATCGTACAGATCAGACAAATAGCATCGCGCTCGCTCGCAGACCAGATCGGCATAATATGCAGGAGGGCAGATGCTCACGGCCTTGGTCGCCCGTCCGAACAGATAGCACATCTTGTGCGTGAGGTCTTCCAGGATGTCAGCTGTGTTCTGTCCTCCCTTGGGTTTCTCTCGACAGAAGATCTCGTCCCAAACAGTAAAGTAGTGCGCCGGGCGAGCGGTGCCCTTGAGAGCAGTGTGAGCCTGTAGGTAGAATTCCCAGTTGCGGGCTTCCGTCACACCGCGGTCGACCACAGTACCATTCTTAGGATTCAAGTGGCCATCGGCGTCCTCTTTACGCGTAGGATAGAAACGCGTGTGATGCCGCTTGCCCACAATCACGACCGAGATCCGTGGTAGCCCTTTGGCATGCTCCGTTGCTGGGTACAGCTGCTTGCAAGCGCTTTTGAGGAGGGGTAGTTCTTCTTCGACAACCATTTCATACTGCCCTTCAGAGACTCCGTCGCGGTAGACAATAATATTATCCGGATACTGACCCTTGTTGATTTTAGCCCACCGACCGAGGTGAGCTTTCAGCATCGTGTCCAACTCACTGACCCTTTCTTGGCGCGATGTTTGGATCCGAAGTTCTGCTGGCCATTGACCCAAGTAGGAATCAATCGAGGCAACCATTCCCGCAACACTTGGGGCTTTTGAGGATGACCCGGGAGAGGGATGGGTCACATCGATACCAACAAGCATAGTCTTGCCCTTGCTCACTATCCCAAGCTCTCTAGGAATCAGCTGATTCGCACCCCCGAGCTTCAGATTGACCTTCAGACCGACGTTGGCGAGGTATTGTTCGCGGCCCTTGTCAGTCGTGAAGTTTTTAACAAGCACATTCACATTGCGGACACCCTCCCGAACGTCACAGACTCGCTTCATGCAGTTATAAATTTCCGTGCTTTGGTCGGTAAGAATACCAAGAATCATGGTAGGCTTATGAGCAGCCATCAGTCTCTTGACAGCGCCACCAATCTGATCATCCACGTCACCGCGAGCGAGAACAACGCGCTCTCCGCCTTGAGGGGGATTGGCCTGAACCCCGACCTCTCTCAGCTTCGTCACAAAATGTTCCAGGGCGGCCCCCAGTACCTCGCGCGTGGGGGCTCTAGTTGGGCTGGAGTCCAAGAAAAGCCAGGCCCAGGAACCTAAGCTTGAGCCGATTGAGAATTTGATAGACCTCATATTCCAGCTGCCACCGCTGGACAGGAGTCTCTTCTCTTTGTTGTTTGCGTCTTTGTAGAAGATCTGAGGGGCCTCAAGGATGCGGCCGGGTACTGTGATGAGTCGGGGATCTGCTTGGATACCAAACTCTTTCAAAGTAGCATTTGAAGCAGCACTGAGCCCGAGGATGCGAGTTCCATTATTCACAATCGACTGAGCGTTGACTGGCGGAACATTGACTGCAAATTTCAACATTTCCCTTGTCTGGTAGGGGCTCAGCTTGGTCTTAGCTTGCTGCCCAGGTTCGACGTTGCAGACTTCGACGGGTAAATAGCTAGGATTCTCGCGAGTCCCGACATTCATCACTGGCATCCGGGGATCTAGATTTGTTATATTGTAACGCTCGTTGAAGAATTCCGCCACACTGATGTATCTTCCAGCCGGCGGAGGCCCCGCTGTGGCTGGCCTTTTGCCCTTCTTCTTCGAGGATGCGGACTGCTGCTGCGATGACTGTTGGCCAGCTTCGTCCAACCAGAATTTCACATCATTGGGACCGGCTCCCAGACGAGGGACCGTCGGAGGATGTGGCAGCGATGCGCCATCTCCCGTGTTAGCCAGACTAGCGATTCTCTTGAAACGTGGGATGATTACTCCCTGCTTGTTTTTGCGTTCAATGTGTGTTGCCCGGATTCTCAAGTTTTTCAAGAAACGTTGCAGGGAGTGGAACTCGAAACGGTTGGGCTGATAACTGGTTATCAAGTCCGCTAGCGCGCCCTCCTGGTAGCAGGCCGCATATTTGACTTGAACATTGACGAGCAGGCGACTAGTTGCAGCACGGACGCTCACAAAAAATCCACGAAGAGCCTCGAGCCCATCTCCGAGGTTGTAACCCTCTTTCTGACCCTGAGCGATGGCAAAGTGTCTATTGGCACCCACTGAGTAAATGTTCGGGTCGATTTTGGGCTGATGGCCCAGGACAATGTTCATAGCTTGGAGAATCTCTGGCTTTCTGTCGAACATATTTGTCGCATTGGCCGAGGTCAAGTAGTCCAAGAGATCGGACGGTTCGAGAGTGCCGGTGTGCTGGCACTTCACCCGATAGACCTTTGATGGCTCTGGATATTCATCGTCGTATTCATCCCGGTAGCGGACGTCATACGTGTGCTCATTCTCGCCTTCCTCCAGAAGCTTATCCCGGGAGATGAGAGTGGAGACGAAGTCGGTGACAACGCCATTTCGCTGCGAAGCAAAATGCTCCTCAATCAACAGTTTGATGACTTGCTTCGCCTTCTTGCCGGTAGGCCTCCTGACGGACTGGTCTCCGAGAATTTCGACGCGATGGCGGTGGAGGGTTTTGCCGATCGACTTGAGCTGAAGATAGTTGGCGAATAAGTCGACTCTCGTTCCCTTCGTACCGTAGCCGGGACGCCGGGGGTATTTGCTGTCTTTGGGCGAGGGCGGTGCCTTGACCAATGCGTTCATCATCGCATCCTCCTTCTCTTCGACCTGGGAGCTGGGTTTGAGGTCTCCGCCGGGGGAGAAGACATCCGGGCCGTTGTAGTCAGCTTTTCCGCCGCGTGGCGGGCGACCGCCACGAAATGCATCGGAACCTCTGGGACGACCACGACCCCTGCCATCGCCCCTCCCATTGTCTCCAGGACGGAAGGGAAGATCGAAAGAGCCACGGCCGCTTCCACCTCCACGACCACCACCACCTCCGCCGCCTCCTCCACGATAACCTCCACGACCGCGGTCACCGCCTCCTCCCCGACCACGGTCACCTCTGGCACGGTCACCGCCGCGACCACGGCCTCGTTGTTGCCAACCTCGAGAATCAGACATGAGGGACGTGAGCTGACGCGAGGCAAATCAGAATCAGTCAGAGCAAGGCACAAGTTCTGATGGGACAGGGACGGGCACAGTACTAGAGGTCGCTGAGGAATTGTTATGTGATGAGCTGTAGTAAGCTTAGCCCCGACCGGAGAAAGTGGGCTCCACCGCTCGGGTTTGGCGCTTTGCGGTGGGTCGGGCACGTTCGTTCCCTTGGAACCGAAGGAACCGAAGGATATGACAGACGATACCCCGCTGACTTGGGCAGAATGTGGTGAGAGAGGATGGTGCTGGATGCCAGACGGACTCAAACAGTTGAGAGAATAAAAGATGATGATGATTGAGGTGAAAGAAAGATGAGGAGCGAAGACGAGATAGGTGGTGCGGGGTACGGTCTATATAGTATCCAAGAGTGAGCCAAAAGTAAACAAATCGGCCGGTCTGGATCTTTGGGAGGTAACCGTCCCGTTGGACTGAAGAACTCACCGCTGGTGGTAAGCTAGTAAGTAAGAATAAAGGAATAATAAGCTGCTGACGGAAAGCCTAACCTGGGAAAAAGGATGAAGATGAGGAGGAGGAGGAGGAGGAGGATGAGGAGGAGGATGAGGATGGAAATGAGGAATAATGACGATGGTGGTGGATGAGAGGAAGAGAGGTTGGAGCCTGGGTGCCTGAAGAGCGGGTGCCCAAACGGGTAACCGCCGTCATTGTACAAACAAAAAGAACAAACAACACTCACACTACAGTCTCACTGGCCACCACCAGCAAAGAATCAAGGCTACAGAGGAGATGACAGCAACAAGGCCAGCTGGGAAGTTATCTTTTTCAAAAATTCAAAACTGTTGGAAAACTGGAAACTGCTAGCATCCACTCATAGTCTGAAAGAGCAGCCATGCAGACCGCCGTTCTCCAGAAGCATACGCCCACAACACACCTCCCTAATCGCCAGACACCTCGACAATCTCCCCCAACATCGCCTCCAGGTACTGCACCTGCTCCACCAAGAACCCTCTGGCCTCCTGCACATCAAACGGACGCTTCCCCAACTCCCGCCGCCTCTCCGTCTGCAACCGCGCCCGGACCCGCTCCTCCAGGATCTCCATGCGGTAGCTCATATACTGCGTATACATCTCGGACGGATCACTGATGCCGCGCACCCCGGTGAGCACGGTCTCATCGCGCACGAAGGGCGATCGCGGCCGGAAGCAGGTCACCATGCTGATCCTCTCGCGGCCGCCCAGCGCCTTGAGCGCCTGATGCTCGATGTAGCGGCCCTGCATCACCACGGCCGTGCCCATGGCGGGGCCCCGCACTTTCATGATCTCGCCCGTCGCCGTTCGCAGCGCCGTCTCCCCGCCGACCATCCCGCTGCAATCGGACAGCATTGTCACACAGACAAACGGGAAGCTGTCGTAGTGCCACGCCACCGCCGAGAGCTGGTCGGTGTCGGGCGCGTTGTCCGGCGTCAGACGGTCGTGCTCGTCGTTGATGGAGATGTTGATGTTGGCGATCTCAAAGTCCATGGATGGCACAAGGTCGACGCCGGCCACTTCGGAGATCTTGGCGATGAGTTCGGGCGAGCGCCATGCGTCGTAGGTGAAGGGGGCGAGACTGGATTGATGCACAGTGCCTTGTTAGCTGGGCTTGTTGCATGGTGACAAACGGGTAGTGGAGTGGAAAAACTCACGCAGGCCCCATTCCGCGGACCATGTTTTTGTTGAAGGTTGACGAGTATTGACATTTCTCCAACACGGGCTCGCTGAAGATCTCCGCGCGCATCTGCTTGATTGCTTCCTCCGTGAACAGGGGGAATGGGTCGGTGACTGCATTGGGCGAGATGCCGTGGCCTTCGAGGCCGATGTCTTTCATGGTGTAGATCTTTGCGGGGGACTGGAAAGCCAGGTGCTTCTCCGGGGTGAAGGGCTCTTTGGTGCTGAGTCTGGCTCCATCGATGAGGCTTTGCGGTAACGCTTTGCTGGGACGAGTCGCTTTCTTCGTGGCAGGGCCGATCACGACCGGCGCCGTGAGAGGGAGGAGTGCAGCTGGAGCCATGGTGTGGGATGTGATGATTGTTGTTGAGAACTTGTTGTTGATAGTCTCTCAAGGAGAGAATATTCAGACCGAAAGACGGAATGATTTATAGAACAGCTATACATCTATACTCTGGTCCCCAGTCGTTCAACTTGCCTCCGCGTGCCTCCATCCCGATCGCATCCTTCGAATCCTCGGCTCTCGCATATCGGCTGCTTGCGATGATCATGTGTGCTAGTAAATGCCCCGCAAAACTTCAGTGTCTGTGTTTCTGAATCATATCTCGTGATGAAAATCACCATCGTTGACCCCACTAAGCTATCTGAGAAAGGGTGGAACGGCTTATCGGGCCCTTCTCGGATGGTTATCACGAACCCGACCATCCGACCCGAGAGGAGGGGTTGAAGATCACGTATCCGATCCCTGTGCTATCGGAGGGATGTAAGTAAGAGCTTAATCTGACGAAAGCAGCGTTGATCCAATGGGCTAGTGATCCCCTATGGGCACCGTAATTTCTCCGATAAACTATGACTACCATGCTTAGACTCATCCCAACCCCGCCGATATCGCTATCAGAGAGCACTATAACCGTAGTTGATAAGTCCAGTAAACTAATTCACAGAGACAGGAAGTTATCTCCAAGCTTCCACACGTATCACAAACAATCAAGTCATTAAGAAAGTAGTAGTCACAATGCCATTACCCTTCCACCTAGAAATCACCCCATCCCCGCCCCCGTATCCAGAATACTATGATACTCCTGCCTCCCAATCTGCTCCACAATCGACAGGAACTCATACGACGAGATCCCAATATTATCCAACAACTCCAGATTACTCGTAGTGGGCGTCGGAGCCGACGGGGACGACCAGAACGGGTCCTCTCCACCCGGAGCACCCGCTTCATGCCCCGGTACGATGGGCTCACCAGACTCCTTCCCCCCAGCTGCCTGCGTTGTCAACGTCTCCCCGCCTCCGGTCCCCCCGGCTGTATTCCCAGTAACACAGTCCTGTTGATGTTGCTGCTGCTGCGGAGAATTCCAGAGCGAGAGCGTCAGCAACCCGCGCCGCTCGATGCGTTTCGCCAGCTCCGCGAACAACCCCTCCAGGTAGACTAACTCCCTGGAACGGTTCTCAGCGAGTCGGTTGCCCTTGCTCGCCATCTCAGACAGAATGGAGTGGGCGTTCTGGATGCCCCGGGTGCCGTGCTCGTTGGGGTCGAGGGGGAAGAGGGCTTGCGCCATGGCAAGGTGGATGGCGGCGCTGTAAGTGAATTCGAGGTCGTAGGGGAGGAAGACTTCTACACGTCGGGGTAAGCCACTGTGGCGGGGCGATACTTTTCCCAGTAAGGGTTTTGAGGGAAGGGGGCCTACCGAGGGGACTATCCTCATCCGACAGGATCTGCAGCGTCTTGACCGCGGATTTGATCCCCGTGGCAATCAGGGCTTTCGTCGGCGCGAGGATCGTCTGCCAGTCCTCGTCGCCTTCGGTTAAGGTGTCGAGTCTTTCCTTGAGGACGGAGAGGAGGAGGGGCCGGGTGGCGACCATCACGCACTTTTGTATGGTATTAGTCGGGATAATTCTTTGTTGGACTGGATACTGCGGGCTATTCTTTTTTTCTTTCTTTCCAGAAGAAGAGGAAATGTACGAACCTGATGATACAAAAGCGTAATATGCCGCGTCCCTCGAGGCATCGTATCAATCGAGTTCTGGAATTTTCGGTAGATGATCTTCTCAATCTCCCGCGCGTGACCCGCGAGCGTCTGCAGGATTGACTTGGTTTGGTCCAAGAACGTCCCGAGCTGCGTCTTCTGGGTTTTGTAGATTGCTGGACGGGATCATCAGCCATCGTTAGAGCATCAGAAGTCAAAAAGGTCAAGAGCTCACTGGTAAGAATAAAAGACAGCAAGTGCGACAACCTCACCTGCAAGCACAGGGTTGCATCGCGTTGCGAGCACGCGCTGGGCGAGTCCAGCACGGTGGTGATATCGCTGTCGCGCGTCAACATGGGGATCCCCAGCGAGCAAGAGAAGTGGCGGTCCATGATGTAAAGTGTCCACCACAGGTTGCGGCACCGCTCGACCGTCTGGAGTCCAATCTCTTCCTCAGGGAGTTGCGTGTGTAGACCTTCAAGCTGCGCGATGCGGATGGCTTGGCCGAGCTGTATTGTTCTTGAGATAAGTTCCAGAGATAAAAGTAGGGAGGATCTTACGTATACATGGGCGGACTCCCTGTGATCAATCGAGTACAGATACAGACCAGCTAGAGCCAGCACTTCAATGGCCAATAGGCTGTCCTTCCAGACGGAGGCGTGGTCCGGCATCAAGGCCATCGCGCGGATAAAGAACTTTGACCCTGGCGGCTCGGTGGTGCATTTGCAGCGGGAGGAGAGAAAGGCGTTCCCGAAGGACAAGACGAGGAGGAATTGTACGAACCACAGACGCGATGCGGCAGCTTTCTCGGCTGCGTTCCCGTGGTAGAACTCCTGAAGATGCTCGACAAAGGTGGCTTCGTCGAGAAAGCGATAGCTCTGACCGAGGTGGAATTTGACAGTGTTGAACAGGTAGAGAGCGTGATCGATTGACGGTAACCCGCTGATGTCGGGGGGGTCGTCGGGTGGGCATGATTTCAATCGGAGGACATAGATGTCCTCCCCGGAAAAATTCGGGGCGCTGTAGGGGGAGTTTAACTCGAGCTTCTCAGCTAGAAGGAGGGTGAGTCTGGCAGTAAAGGACCAGGTTGATGAGGGTGCCAGCCAGACTGCGCCATTCTTGGTTAGCTGACACCGACGGGCTGAGAGCATGGTAACTCACCCCAGTTGCGTTTGTTCCTCTGGGTGTTCTTGATGGTTCTTGAGGGGAGTGTGAATGGACTTGTCCAGATGCTGCGCGCGCCGTCGACCGTTGGATTGGACAACTCGGCAGGCCGTTGCACTCCTATGTATGGTGCTGGATCGAAATGCTGAGAAACGAGAGAAGGAGGAGTGAGCAGCACATCAGGGCAATCCTCATGGCCATCTGACACAAAAGCCAGACTTGCGGGTCGCTTGGCCCCTGCGCATCAGGTCAGTTTTATGCGCTTGTTGCGATGTTGTGAGGTTCCTCAGATTCCTCGGTTCCCCACCTGATGCATGACTGTTTATCTCAAACGGAGTGGAATTGCTGGGTTGGTGAATGATTATCCTATGACCACTATCCACAAATCGACAGTTCACCATCCGTCGTTGGCAGTTCCCACATGGCTGATTCCCAGAGCATTTGATTTTACTCTGCCGGCATGGGATGCACCTGTCTCGGATGTTAGTGGGAGGAGTCCGGCGGGGAGCGTGTGGGGGGGGGGGCCCTGGCCCTTACGCATTGGCAGTCCTTCGGAACTTTCGGCGCTCAGTCCTACCCTCGGTCGTCATTGCAATTGATGGCCGTGCAACTATCATCTATATTGTGCAGGAGTTCGCAAGCTCGGCTTGGGGCGATGGCATGATCGAAGGAGATAAAAAGAACAGTTGGCAAAGCCGAAGGCGAAGTTGGCAATTGCGGGGAACGGCGGGTGGCTGCTGGTTGACTCCATCCCCGCAGATAACTAGTTAACTTGGTGGCAGGATAAGGTCGATAAGTGCTCAAGTAGGGCTAGTGCTCGCTGTTAGCGTTGATCTCGATACGAGAGATCTTCTCCTATCATCCCGATCAAGAAAGTCTGGTGAGAGCCGAGGAACCCGGCTCACTCTATTTGCTGCACCAACCATAGCAAATGTATGTACTAGGTACCTGGTACTTGTGAATGATTTAATGTAGGGTTGATACTGAACAAATCCAGAAGAAATCGAATTTCATCTATCTGTCCCGCCTTGACTACCCAAAGTCCAAACACGCTCACGCGACGTCAAACTCGATAGTGCCCCACTCCTCAAAAGTACACCTCCACTTCCCGGGCTTATCCATCGGAACGGCCTGGAGACAACTGCCAGGTAGAATCACCTGGCCGGCTTGAAATTCAATATCGTATGCAGCCAGTCGATTCACCAACCAGGCCACTGCCGACAGGGGATTACCCAGCACATTCCCCGTGTTTCCATCCATCACCTCCCGACCATTAAACTGGAGCGTACCCCGCACATCCCGCAGACTCTTTAGATCTGTGAGCTTCCGGGGAGTGCCGCCGAGAATGACATTGGCAGTGGAGCCGTTGTCAGCCAGAGTGTCAGGCAGATCGATCGCCCAATTCTCCACCCGAGAGTCGATGATCTCGATGGCAGGTATAGCATAGTCAATGGCGTTGATCACATCGGCTACCGTCACGTTGGGACCGCGGAGCGAGCTGCGCAGCACAAAAGCAGGCTCCAGCTCCACGTAGGGCTTGATATAGTGGTCGAGATGAAGGGGGTGCTCTCGTAGAGAAAGGTGCTGGCCAGAAGGAAGCCATAGTCTGGTTGATCGAGGCCAAACGCGTCCTGCATGACCTTGGCTATGTTTCCGAGCTTGTAACCGACCAAGCGATCATCGTTGCTGACGGCGTGCTTGACATTCAGTCGTTGCACCTCGAAAGCCGAGTCCGCGTCAAGAGCGGGCCAGGTCTTGGTGGGTGGTGTGATGGGGGCTCGATTGTCGCGCGCGGTGCGCAGGGCCAGCGCCACTTCTTGTAACTCGTTCGTTTGCATGGTGTTTGTGTATTCTCCGAATTGCAAATGGTATCAAGAATGCTCAGATAGTGTGAAGAGGATGCAATAGTGCGCGTGAACTCTCTTCTTCAGATGCTGATCGGATATCATGGTAGCCATCGTTGGTCTTATACTAATTCGCGGCTAGTCGAGAATTCACCTCGGACTGCATTGAGATACAAAAGGACATGTTGATAACTGCCGAGTACCTTCAGCCCTCGGCTTGAGGCAATGGTTCAAGCCATTAACTAGTAGCCGTGATCCGATCCGACAAACGGATAGACCCGACCTCGGATAGCGGAGGTCTCATCATCCTCAGCACTCCATACTGTAAACCCTCGTTATAACGATAGAATTGGTGAGGCCCCTTGGAATTGTTATACAGTAAAAGTCGCTGTATTGAAACAAAACAAATGGTATATACACGTGACATTCTTTGTAGAATTTACTCCTAATACTCAAGATTGTTCTCGTTTATTACTTTTCTAGGTAATTTTAACCTGTTTTAACGATTTTTGTACGGCTAGATAAATGACAATTCCGATTATCGCAATAAAGCAACACAGCAATTTTTGTATACTAGAACTAATTTTTTGTTCGGCGCAATCGTTGTAGATCGAAAATCGTTATAATGCGTATCGTTATAACGAGGCTTTACAGTACAGTCTAGGAGTTGTCTACTCCGGCCAGCCGACACTCGCTACTGGCCTACGAAGAGGGAGATTGCATGCTCAGCCTGGGTTGTTCACAAACTGAGGACTAGAGGAGAGAGCGCCCTAGTATCATTATCTACGATTGTCTTCAACGACCATGCATCGACCGTCGGGCTCTGTACCCATAGCTCCTTGAATAATACTCTCGCAGTCAAAAGGCTCGATCTGCAACTTGGCCCTGCATCTCAGTACATGGAGCAAAATGCATACTGCATACATTGAATGTGACCGAACTGTCTGTTTATCGATGACTAAGCACGTTTCACCCCTTTGACGCGCAAACCGCAACAGTTTAACTCTTTCATCAACGAACCGGCTTCAGCATGATCGAAATGAAGGTGGGATCATCGACATGGTGTCCGTATCCGGTCACTCGATCCATTTCCCTTTGTAGGTGTGTCATGTCCTGTTCAACGGTTACCTCCCGAAAGGTTTCAACGATGAACAACAATGGTCGACTATTCGAATACACATCTGGTCGATGGATGTGGGTTGCACGAAGAGGCCTTCTACTTCCCAGCTTTGATAGCTTATATAGGTAGATACAACGAGGAAGTCCGTCTCGCTGAGCGTCACAGAAAGTTTGATGTTGATGCGTTAAAACGCGCCGCTGCTCGATCGCTGGAGAGATCGGACACAAATATTAAGAGTCTATCGAAGCTGGCAGAAGGAGGCTTCAATCGTGTCCTACTGATAACTATGCTTGATGATACTCAGGCCCTTGCGCGATTGCCATATCCCTCAACTAAGCCAAGGCAACTGACAGTCGCTAGCGAGGTGGCGACCCTGGCTCTCCTTCGGGGTTATGGTATTCCGGTGCCCCGTGTGTACGCATACTCTACAGATGCTAACAGTCCTGTTGGCTCCGAGTATATTATCATGGAGAAGCTACCAGGGCGACCACTTGGTGATCGGTGGTTCGATCTATCTGATCGTGAACGTCTAAAGGTGCTTCTGCAGCTTGTTCAGCTAGAAGCAAAGGTTCATGCTATTGAGCTTCCTGCAAGCGGGAAGCATATACTATGCCAAGGACCTGCCATTGGACTCACCCCGCATTGTCATCCCAGACTCGGATTGCTGCATCGGCCCTAGTACAGCTCTTGAATGGTGGTTCGCAGAGCGTGCCTCGCTCCGCACTGATCGCGGCCCTTGTAAGTGCCTTCTATGCCAGCTTGCCTCGCTCCTGACCATGTACTAGGTAAGGAACCAATCGATGTTCTCCGAAATCCTGCGTTGAAAGACGCATATGGCCGGCCGCGCTTCCCATTTGAACGTGCATATCGCGAATCCACGAATTATCGATTGTCTGATCCCAGTGAGCATATTGCGTCGCTGGAATTCTACCTCAAGATTGCTCCTGAACTGCTTCCACCGGACGAATTCTTACGACCTGTCCTTCGCCACCCTGATCTTCAGCCGAACAACATTTTTGTCTCCGACGATCTCGACATTGTCGGATTAATTGACTGGCAACACGCATCTGTGCTGCCAGTCTTTCTCGCTGCCGGGATCCCGAAATTCTTTCAGAACTACGACGACCCTGAATCGCTTAATTTCCGCCCGCCTCCTACCCCGGATCTTGACGACATGGACGAGGAAGAAAAAGCCGAGGCTCTTCATGTTTTCAAGCGTCGCCATACCCACTTCTTCTACTTGGCTTCCACGCAGCGTTTCAATGGACCTCACTTCCGCGCCATGGATCAGGCTACGAACATGCTTACGCGCCGCATCTTTACTCACGCAGGCGAGCCCTGGGAGGGGAATAACATCCCACTCCAGGCCGACCTTGTTCTAATCTCTAAATGCTGGCACCGATTTTCAACCAGCCCGTGTCCGATATCATTCTCGACGACCAAGGCTGATTCCATCATGCACTCACAAGGCGAGCAGGAAGAGGTTGATCTCCAACTCAAACAGATTCGCAATATTATTGGCATCGGCGTGGACGGTTGGACCCCTTTAGAAGAATATGAAGCCGCCTGTGCTCGTGCCCGTCAGGTAAAAATCGATGGTCTTGCTTCACTTGACACTGACCACGAGCGCGAAATGACGAAGCGACACTGGCCGTTTGATGACCATAATGAGGACGAGTAGCACCATAGTCTTTTCGTTGTTGGACTACTGGAGCCAGGGAGGGGTATTTTACATTCGACTTTTGCTGTCATCCATGCGGGAATTCCTATATACCACGGATGAACCCTGAATATAGATACATCCGCGAGAACACACGAGGTTCTGGTAGCACTGTCCCTGCCCTGTCGTGTCATTAGGCAGTGTGACAGACCGAGGTACCGGCCGACGGCTCAAAGTTCCAGGCTCTCTGTGAAGGGGGCTTGTACACCAAAGCAGCGAGGATTTGTAGCTATTCAACTTGTTGATTTCATTGGTTGAAGTACGTACACAGAGAGGAGGATGGTGGTGAGAAGGGCCAGCTAAGGTAATTTCTCACATCATGTGGCCGCCGCTTATAACGTTACAGGCCATCCGCGGCGACACAGGTGCCATTACTACCGTTGTCTACAAGCAGCAGTTATAAAAACTACTGTGTAAGCAAGACTGTAACTGACGGTATGAATGAACCACTCTCCTTTGGAAGGAGGAAAAGGACCTGTTGCAGTGTTGCTGTTACTGATTTGCTCTATCGCTTGAAAGAACCCCCCCCCCACCCACTCCTGGGAAGTGAGTCATCGGTAAGTAACTATTAAGTTACCTACTGTACCCGCCAGCAACGCTTGATACTATCTTCTATTCCCTTTCAGATAGCCATAGAACACAGGAGAAATCATTCGAAAATCCAAGATGTTTTCAGAAACTAGCGATAACGACAACCAATGGGGATCGTTGAGCCCGAAACAGCTGGAATCCACCGCCGAGATTCTCCGACGCCTGGCGCAGGAAGAGGAGTTTCCAGACCCGTGGACAACGACCGCTGGAATCGTCGACTTAACGAGACTCCTCACTGCCTTTCTCGATGACTATGCTGCGGCGAATGATGCCGCTTCCCGAGAAAGGTTCCTGACCTCGTTCCTTGCCCATGTCCGTGCACATCTCAACCACGATAATGATTCACCGCGTCCGGAGGATGACAGTGCGGATCGGGCTCTATCAGACCTCGAAGCCCTCCCCAGCTGGAGCGAAGCAAGACGCCAACGGCTCGAGAGCACACTGCAGAGTTTTCTCGACGGGCTCACGAACGGAGTCGCCCTGCTATCGTATGCGGCAGAGCGCGGCCTGGAAACAGTCGTCCGGCGGCTGCTGCTCCTCGCGCCGGGAAGCAGCAATCCCAGCTTCCCCGCAGAAGATGATTCAGAAGAGCCACAGCCCCTCTCCCTCGCAGCGCGGAACGGACACGCAGGGATCGTCAGCCTGCTCCTCGCCGCCAACGACGGCGGCAAGAAACTCGATCCCGATCACCGCGAAGAAGACTGGTCCGGCCAAACGGCGCTGCTCTCCGCGGCGGAGAACGGCCACGCGGAGGTCGTGCGCCTCTTGCTGGCGACCCCAGGCGTGGACGCCAACCTCGAAGACTGGGATTTCCAGAGCCCACTGCTGCTTGCGGCGCGCAACGGCCATGACGCCGTCGTCGAGCTCCTGCGCGCGCACGAGGGGCTCGACGATCCGAATGTCCCGAACGAGTGGGGGGAGACGCCGCTGCTCGTCGCCGCGGAACTAGGGCATGAGACGGTGGTGCGGCGGCTACTAGGCTGGGCGAGGACTCGGCCTGACACGCCGAATCTGCGGGGAGAGACCCCCCTGATGGTGGCCGCCGAGCGGGGGTATACGGCGATCGTCGCGGCGCTCCTGGGGACGCACCGCGTGGATGCGAGCAGGAAAGATGTAGACGGAAACTCGCCGCTCCTGTGGGCGGCGCGGAATGGTCACTATTCCGTGGTGAAGCTGCTCTGCGCGGCAAGGCACGTCGACCCAAACGATGCGGGGGCTGGTCGATGCACGCCTCTCGCGTGGGCTTCGCGGAATGGTCATCTGGAAATCGCCGAGTTTCTGCTCTCCGTTGACGGCGTGGACCCAGATTCCAGGAGCTCGGATGGACGAACGCCGCTTTTGTTAGCAGCCGAGTCGGGACATGAGGCTGTCGTCGAATTGCTGCTCACAATGCCAGGTGTCGATGCGACTTCCGCTGATTCCAAAGGCCGCACGGCCCTCTGGTGGGCTGCGCAGGCTGGAAATGAGGCCGTGATTCGAGCTCTCATCGCAACGACGCAGAAGGTATCCCTGGATACCCCAGACTCAGACGGCGAGACGCCGTTACTGTGTGCCGCGCGAAACGGGCACCACGCGTGCGTTCGACTATTCCTTGCGACCAAAGGGATAAGCCCAGCTCCCCAAGACTCCCAGGGAAGAACAATCCTTTGGTGGGAGGTGTTTCACGGACATGAAGATGTGGTTACAGGGCTGCTCGCCATGGGGGGGGTGAATCCTGATACCCCCGGACCATACGAACAGACGCCCCTGCTGTATGCCGCAGAACATGGGCAAGAGACAATCATTAAGCTCCTCCTAGCCACCAACAGAGTAGATCCCGAGGCACAAAATTCCAATCGAGAGACCCCGTTGTGGTGGGCCGCGCGGAACGGACATGAGACAATCGTCACGTTGCTGCTCACGCATGGTGCGGACCCTGAATCTAGAAGCCTGAGTGGCGGGACTCCCTTGCTTTGGGCAGCACGGAATGGTCACGCTGCCATTGTTAAGCTTTTGCTCCAGAAAGGGGCAGACCCGGATGGCTGCCCGACTGAAGACGGGGAAACGCCCTTGTGGTGGGCTGCCCGAAATGGACACGAAGCAGTGGCCAAACTTCTCCTTGCGACAGAGAGAGTGAATGCCAACTGTCAAGACTCGATGGGGGAGACGCCGCTCTGGTGGGAAGCACGCAACGGACACGAAGAAGTGGTCCGACTGCTGCTGGCTAGGGGAGTCCGTCCAGATGTGCCCAATTCGGATGGTCAGACGCCTCTGTCCTGTGCGGCAGAATTCGGCCACGACGCTGTGGTCAGACTGCTGCAAGCTTATGGTGCAAGATCGGGACCTATCTAGTCTTTACGATTCTTACGACAACGACAATGTCTACAACATCGCAAGACAAACGGATAATCGCAACACATATTCACTAACACATATTGGTTTGCTTAACTTCAACATCCCGTGTCAACTCTGCTCCATCCTTCCTCTTGCTGCTACCCTTCGGGTCTTCTTCCAGGCTCAATCCAAACATCAACAAGCCCAAAGCTTCAATCACAGAGTGTGCGCCTCACAGCCATCACCCCAGCCATAGCTATGGTGGCAACCCGAGTAAACGCGGAAGGACTTGGGGCTAAAGTTGAAGACGCAGACCTCGGAGGGATCATCGTAGTAGTCACAGACTGGATTGAAGCTGTCCTTGCTGCCGTTGCAGGCATCGCTCTTCCAAAAGGTGATATACGCCTCTTTGATTCAGTAGACGACAACGTAGTGCCACGGGGCATGGGTCCCAGTATGGCAAATCTTGTGGTTGGCCTTGACAGCGTAGGTATTGCCCTCGCCCACGGAATTGCGCAGAAGCATGCTGATGGCATTGGTAGTGGTGCGCTTGGTGGTGGTGGTGGTGCTAGAGGAGGTCCCGACCAGAGCTTCCTGCTCCGCGCTGAACGCCGCGCTGGCGTTGTTTGTGCCGGCGATGATGCCCCGGAACTCCGCAAAACTCTCCTCGGGCAGGTAGTCCACCCCGTGGCTGGATTGGTTCAGGGCGTAGACCTTGGGCAGCTGGCCACCGTGGTAGCCGAACTCGGAGAAGTTGACATAGGGCGTCGCGGCATTGAGCGCCTCCGTCGCGAAGTTGTGCGCGAAGGTGATATTGTGGATGCTCACTGACGATGCCTGTGCCATCATCGCGCCGAGAATGATGGCTCCCAGGATTTGTAGCCCGACCATCGCGACTCAAAGAAAAGACAAGAACAACAAAAAAGGGCTTTAGAGGATTGAGGTGTGGTGTTGAGAGATACCGAGTCAGGGGAATTTACTTCCGTGTCCTGCTATTTATGTCAAGAGCCTGCTGGAAGAATGGATATCTTCTCAGGAGAACCCTCGCTTAGAGTTAGCCAAAAAGAAATACTATCAAAGTAGCAAATGCTAGAGCGAATCCTCCCACGAAAGACCGCCAATCTTCATGACCCCATTAGCAAGTAAGCCACCCACTTCGCGATTCAGCTACAACTCAACCTCGCTGACAGGCGAAATTGTGCGTTGTCTCGTAGAGAATTGATTTCTATCAATCATTGGTTTCCTGGGCGGCGGACTGATTCGAACACCGCAGAATATCATTTATTTTATCCGATCTATGAATAGGTCCTGCATATTGGGAGACCTCTGTTCTGGATTATTTCTATGATAGCTTGGATGGTCTATTTGGTATCTTCATTGAAGATGGAATGAGGTACAAGTAACCAAAAAAAGGGAGGAAAAAAAAAAGAAGAAAGAAAGAAGTGAAAGGAAAAAGGAAATCAAAAGCCCGAAGGAGTTTACAATCTGCTACCAGGACTACTAGTGTACTGAGTAAAGAACCAAAATTCTATAGCCTATATCGCAGACCCAACAGGTGGACTGCTGAGCCGCGAGTACCCACAGCGATTTTGGGTGGTCAATGCTGATAAGAAGTGGATATTTGCAATCTCTTAGACAGGCTAAGCAATAAACTATACTATTTTGGCGATGATCCAAGCAGAAGAGCTTAAGCTTACTCCGTACTTACGTAGTCGACCCTTCGGTAAGCTGTACCAGTCTGTTAAGTTAGTGCTTCCCCACCAGCCCTAGAGGGTTTTAGTGGGCTCCATCCATTGCGTAACCCATAGCCGACATTCCGCTGACTCATTATGAAAGAATTCATGGAATTATGACTAGAGTTAGGTTATCAGCTCGGAGGGGGGTCACAAATTAGTGTGAGAAGGTTAGAAAAGCCGAAACCTACAATTCAATAAAGAATTGGATTAAGTTGGAATTTTTGTAGGGCTCTTTAATGAATAGCTATTTTACAAGTATTATAAGGCCAGTGTTAATATAGACTTCTAATATAAAAGGCTTCTTAAAGTTCTAATATGTTTAATGTTAGAGGAGATTAAAAGCTTCATTTTGAGGCTTACATAACTCAAAATATTTTGAAGGGGTCAGAAAGCTCCCGGGGAGTTAGAAAGTACTGTGCTTAGGGGCTAGAGTATATTTATATAATCTTTGATTCCCTTGCACTAATTTCTGACCCCTCTGAGCTGGTACCCTACTAGAGTATCGCTCCTAGCTGAAGAGTATCTCTACAAGTAGTTGATAGGAGCATTCAATCCTAGAAGATCACAGTCAGCATTTAAACTCTTCTTCCTATGTGAACTGAGAAATACTGTTACTGCTTCTTACTCGTCCTTCAGAGATACACCACACCTTAAAATGATTATCCATATTTGTATCAACTAGGACTCTCAAATGGAATAGACATCAGAGTATCACAAATGGCAACTAATTACCACATGAAACTTATCTACAAAGAAGATCTGTTTTCTAAAACTTCTATCATGCTGGAATACTGAAGCAATGCCGACAATACATCCTCTACATCGTCACTCTTCACAATCCAGTCCAATAATCACCTGAAGCGTCTGCAACTTCCGACGGTGGTTGGGGTCATTTTGTTACTGGCTAAAAAAATCCATATGAAAGGACACATCATAAAGGATTGACAACTGAAAGACCAGGGCCAATGATCGCTGCAATCATACACCCGCTTATACGACTTGGCAACTGCGATGACCGAGATGGGCTCGCAGACCACGACGCTCAGCGCGGGCGACCGGTCCGGCGGTTCGAATAAAATTGTTTTCCTCGTTGATCCAATACGGCTCTTTGTTGTGACTCGATAGACAATTTGCTCTGGCTGGGTGGGATCTGGACAGCCCGGAGATATCGGAGTGATTGGACTAATGATTTCTCTACGCTGCCGCGGTCGAGGAATAGCTTTCATGTTGTTGCATCCCTTTGTTTATCTTTTCACAATTCTCAAACGACGCAGCTTAAAGAAGGGGGAATGATTTCGACATCATCTTATAAGATGACCCTTTCATTTCTACTATTGTAAATATCCAGGATTGGGTGTTGCGGAACCAGAATACGGGGAAAGTCGAAGTTACATGCACCTTCCGGCACTGGTATGCCTCGACCTCTGAGTAAATTATCCATCTACACACCCTTTTCTGATTTGTGAGGACTTTAGGTACGCGAGGTTGAAGCCTGCCCCAGGAACTGCCTACGACGGCACCAGAAAAAACGCAGAAGAATGCTACTGCACTGAGTGTAGGCAATATTCCTTCCGGGAAAAGTAACAGCATCATTTACTTCTTCAGACGACGCAAGAAGGCAGAGCTCAAGAGATCAACCGACTGGTCTCCTCCAACTTCTGCCCCCTTGTCTCCGGCAACAGGAACACCCCCCACAGGAGACCCAGTAGCGCCACCACGAAGAAGAACCAGAAGGTGCCTTTCGGCTGCAGCGCATCCGCCAGCATCATCGTCGGGACAGCCTGGTAATTTGCTTCAGTCAGCCAAACTATCCTCTCTACAACCAACCCCGGCTCACCAGCGAATGCGATAGCCAACATCTTTTACAGGTCCACCAACAGCAAATGAAGCAACATACCTTGGTAAGCGCAAACCGATTTGCATAATGCACACACATCAGCAGGCTCGTCCCTAGTGTGCGCACGGCGGTGGGCAGCATCTCCGCCGTGATCAGGTACTGGATCGAGTTCCAGCCAAAGGCGTACCCGACGCCTGTGATATAGATGGCGGCGATGGCGGCGATGGCCGCGCGATGAGCGGACGCCCTACCGTCTGTTCCGGAGGGTAGCGCGGTGAGGTAGATGGCCACATACAGCAGGGCGAGTACCTGCAGGGCAATCCCCAGCGTAAGGCAGCGTCTACGGCCGAGGCTGTCAAGAAACAGTACGGCGCAGAGGAGGGCGGAGCCCAGTTTCACGGCGCCGAAGATGGCTGTCTTGAAGAGTTTCTCCGAGGAGCCGGTCATGCCGAGGAGGGAGAAGAACTTGGGGGCGTATGCTGTGGAAAGGTGTCAATTGCTGGAATAGTTGATAGGGATGGAAGAGGAAGAAGGGGTTCAGACTTGTGATCGCGTTGGTGCCGGACCATTGACTCAGGAGTTGGGCTGAGAGCAGGAACAGAAAGCGTTTGCGGTTGGCTGACTGGCCGAACAAAAGTTTCCATGAGGTCAGCAAAGATCGTCCGAGATTCTTAGAGGTATTGTGTGCTGTCTGCTGCAGGATGGATTCGATCTCGTCCTGGATCTCGGGGCTGTCTTCGGGGAGGGCTCGCAGTCGACTTAGGGCTCGTGTGGCCCGGTCGGTGTGCTGCTTCTGGCATAGATAGCGGGGGCTTTCGACACAGCCGATGGACACAATGAGAATGAAGCCGGCCATCATTATCTGACTCGACTGCGGAATGATCCATTGCTGGTTGTTATTGTCGACGATATGCAGTGATGAGCCGTACCCAGCAAAATACTATAGCCCGTCAGTTAGCAACCGGCTGACCACCGCCGACGAACCTCCGCAACTCACCCCTATCAAAACACCCACATACTCCGAAGCAGCATACACACCCACCATCATACCCCGCCACGAGGCCGGCGCAATCTCAGCAAGATAAATGGGCCCGATAATGCCAGCTTGGCCAATCCCCAGCCCCACGATGAAGCGACCCGCCAGCAGCTGGCCATAATTACCCGCTGACGAGATCACTAGCGCCACTCCCACGATCCACAGCACGCACAACTGCCGCATCATCCACAGCGGGCTCACTCTATCGCTCAGCAAAAAGGCTAGCACTGCTGCGGGTAAGCAGCCGAGGTTCACCATGGACGTGATGTTCGACAACCGGTTGGCTTGCTCAGATGCACTGAGGCTGCTGGCATGGAGCTTGAACTCCCGAATGAAAGACGGCAGGTCCACAGTGGTCGCAATCAGACCTTCATCCAGCCCTTTGGCGGATCCCAGCAGTCCGAAGCCGATTATGGCGCAGGTGATTTGGGGGGCAAAGCATCGCATGGTGATGGCGTGAATGGCGCTTCCATAGCACAATCTGTGCTTGATGAGGGCTCAGATGTTTCTGGGTGTTACTCTCATCTTGCAAGAATACTTTCCTGGCTTATAGGGAATCTGAAAGACACCAAGGTCCCCTGTTCCAGTGCATCGGACAGGTTTTCGGCTTATTGTGGAAGGTCTCCGGGGTGGGTACCCCCAGACATTCTCCACTACGGAACAAGTGCGACTGCGAGTTCTCCGCGCCAGTTGAACTGCTCCCCCCTCAGCACATTGTAGAAACCTCGTCATGTGGAGGATGTCAGTCAGGTCAGGCACAGTTGTAGTCAGTCTATTGAAGATTTTCGAAGATTTGTAAAGCTGCGTGTGCGAGTGGAGCGACAGAGGGGTTGGAAGACTGCTAGATAGCCATTCTGAGGCCATCATAGTGGATTCGTCTGGAAGCCAGAACACACATTTTTAATGAAATTGGCCAATGCAATCAACACAATGAGGTGGTGGCCTAGCTTAGCTAAGAATCTGCGCATGCGAGGGACGGTCAGCCCTATAGGGCTGGACAAGGCACGGAGTGGGGCTGCACAGGCCAAGCTCTCGGATCGAACGGCAGGCAGCCAGACTCCGGCTGTTTCTGGAGCTGGACAATGCCGTGAACACCGCAGATGAGCTGAATGAGGATAAGTGTTGGCAGTTACTAGCGCAGCGCACGATCCCCACGCCCTTGGTGCATATGGTGTGCCTTCTAGCGGCCAGGGATGGTTGATCCTGGTTTTCGCCCCGACACCCTCAACATGTGTCTACCTAGTTGCAACTAACACAAAACTTGATAAACTCAACGTATACGTATAACAAGCCATGTAGCAACGAGCAACTCACCCCTCAGCCCAGACCCAAACCCCAAAAGCAAAATAAGTACTACCCCCGCACCTCATTCAACCACCACCCCAGCTCAACCCCCAACCTCCCCGGCTGATCATACATCACCAAATGGCCCGCCCCGTCAATCAACACCAGCTCCCTCGCATTCAACCTCTCCCTCAACCTACCCGCCGTCTCCATGGGAATCCACCGATCCTCCACCCCCCAAACCACCAACACAGGCACGTTGGCGCCAACCTCGCCATATCGCCCCTCCACCGCCTCCGTACTCCGATAATTCGCCTGCACCATCTGCCTCACAAACCCCTTCCGCCCTTCCTCCCCCCTTCGCACCCACGGCTCCTTCAACATCTCCATCCTCTCCTTGCTTAGTTCAGTAAACGCCGCATCCCGAATATACGCCTCCACAACCCCCTCAAACACCGGCCCAGTCAACGCCTCAAACACCACCTGGTTCTCAGCCACCAGCTTAAAGAGAGGCTGTCCGAACGGCCCCAGCGCCACGACATTGATCAAACACAGACTTGCATATTGAAGTCCATGTAGCAGGTGCGCGCGCAGACTCATCAACCCCCCGTGGTCGTGGGCGATCACATGTGCGCGTTTTTGGTAGACGGGCGGCCAGGTTTGGGACCAGTGGGTGTACAGCGCGGCGAAGATGGCAGTTTGGTCGGATAGGTCGGCGTCTAACGCGATGGTTTTGGTGGTTTCAGGGTCGTGCTGGTGGGAGGGGAGCGGCGTGCCGAGCGGGCTGTGGCCGAAGCCGGGGTTGTCGAAGAGGTGGACGTGGAAGGTGCGGGCGAGGGTGAGGGCGTAGTCGTTCCAGACGGCGGAGGACCAGGGGGTGCCGTGGATGAAGATGAGGGGGGGGTGGGAGGGGTCGCCGAGGGTGGTCCAGTGGATGGTGTGGCTGTGGGTGGTGGTGTTGTGGTGGAAGGTTTGGGGGAGGGGGATTGTTTGAGGGGGAGGTGTGGAGGGCATGATTTGTTGGTGATGAAAGAGAGGCGGTGGATCAGGGATCAGGGGTGGGTTTGTATACTTGAGCGGGTTTTCCAGAGGGTGTGTCTTTTATTTACTTTGAGAGAGTAAAGGAAAGAATAAAAGGGTGAGGCTAATCAAACCAGCATGGAGTGAAAAGGGGTTCTGAAGGTAACGATATTTAAAGTCACCTCTTACATCAGCAGCTGGGACCTTAACCTAAGCGGAAGTACGTCAGAAATGCGGGGTTTATCGGCTGCTATGCAGGGATCCCTGCTTGTTGACAACAAGCTAGATTACACCAAGACGGTACTTTATTCGACGGTAGTCAGAAAAGCTTACAAAGATTTATACAACTCGGAATCAAACTAGATTGCTAGGAACCCGACCTTAACCCATCAAGTTCACACTTAGTTGGAAACCAGCAAGGGTAAGAACAAAGCCAATCTGACCTTAAGTAAAGATAGACAACAGACATAGGAAGAATAGACCCAGCAACCTCATCTCCGACCCTTCTTACTGAATGGATCACCCCTTCACAACCCCCGTGCTTCCATATACCTCGCCCCCTGCAGCCCCGCTGGGATCGACTCCTCGAAGATCACCACAGCCTCCCCGTTCTCGTCCTCTAGCCGCTGGAAATAATTGCATCCCCCCACCGCACAAGTGTAGAACAAGGCGCCGGGAAAGCACCGGCGGTCATTCTGGCTGGCAACCTGCAGACGACAGGGCAGCTGGCCCTCACAATCACACGCGGGGTTGTCGGGGTGCACCCCTCGCAGATCCGCGAAGCACGCAAAGGTGCCACAGTGGTGGCAGCGGTAGTAAGGTCGTTTAGCGTTGCCATTCTCGTTGTTCTCGGAGACAATGTACTGGGATGTGATGGCGTTGCATCTGCGGCAGGGCGGAGGACGTGGGCATTGGGGAGCGGTTGGTGCGGTGGTGGCGGTGCGTAGGCCGGTGCTGGTCATTTGAATGGCAGAGTACTTGGTCAGTCGGTTGGGGTTGAGGTTGGGCATTCTGGGCTTGTTGGTGGTTGAGTTGATGGTCTGTTTCGGCTCTCAGGGAAGTCAGTCGTGAGATCTTAGACGTATGACTGAGGGATGATGAGATAGATGGATGATAGCTTTTTTTGTCGGGCTGGATAGCATGAAACAAAGATTCATAGTTGATGAACGGATTGCATAGTAATATCTAGCCTGAGGGGCATAATTTATGCAATCGTGGAACACAAACAATTAGGGAGCAATGGCGGAGAGTAATTCCCGATGACAGCTTTCTTCGTTCAGCGAGCCACGACCAGAAACTCATGTATCACGGTCCGCCGACCGCTGTGTCTTCTAGCAACGGCATCTGCCCTTTGAGCATACTCCCACCACATACAGATATTGAGTTTATCCTCCCACCAAGATGAACAGGTCTTGCAGTAGCCGGTATCTTTGGCCGTATTAATCTTATCGCGTTCCAAGCCCATTGTGTTTTTGTAAGCTTCAAAGTCTGCTGGTGAATGCTTCCGATATAACGCCTACACCTCCGTCCGGCGCGCCTGAACAGCGTACCATATGGGAGTCTCGCCAGCAACGTCTTTTCAAGTGATACTTGCACCGGCAGAAAGAAGCAGCTGGGCCTGATCCACCCATCCATGGTAACCTGCATGCGATAGGGCCGTCACTGCCCCGTCCAGTGTGTAGTCGGGATCAGCCCCCTTGGAGAGAAAATAACTCATCGCGTCATTGCGTCGGGGACGCTACGTTCAAGCTCAGGGAACCTGTTTAAAAAGCCCTGAGCAATTTCATCGTCCCCATGATATGCTGCACAGAGGAGGGTGTTGAAGCCAACTGCTGTCCTGAACAGGCTACCGTCGTTGGGTCGATCATGATCGAGAAAGTTAAAGCATTGATTAGAGGCGTCCCACATCTCATGGAATGCTCTTTGTCCATGGTAGACAGTTTGAATGACGAAGGGATATTTTTCCTTAGGTTCATGACGGTCCACTTTACAAAGCCGCCAGCAATGAGGAAGGCTACCATGAGGAAGGCTTCCGTGAGGCATAGCACCGTAGTTGCACAGAAGCTCGCATATTTTCCAGTTGCTCTGGAGAATAGCCAAGCTCAGCGGTAAGTATCGTAAGTATCATGATTATCTGCCGCAGCCCCGTTAGTCAGTAGAAATGAAACGCTGTCTGCAACATGACGAGACACTGCATCGCGCAATCGATCCTCCTCATGATAGACATCCTCGAACAGGGCTGGCATGACAGCGTTCATATTCGTTTCTTCGGCAAAATAAAAGATTGACAGATCATCATCACTCGTGGAAAATATATTCGCATTCCTTGCAATCAGCTCGTCAACGATGGATTTATGGTTATGAGTCGCGGCCAGATGAAGCAGCGAGCAGCCCTTAGAGTCCCTGCATTCAACCTCAAAACCTCGGTCAAGAAAGAATTTGACGATCTCAAGATGACCCTTCCTGGCGGCCATAAAGACTGGGTGGTATTTCATAGTGGGCCACCTCAGCTCTTTAGCCTCGGACTCATTAGTTCCGAAAGGTGGCTCCATGTTTGACGGGGTTGGTGAGTACCTCCACTTTGCCACGAAAGCTGGCCCAGAAAGAGATGTTCAAGCGCAAGTCAGCCGTCGCCGTGTCTTGCTTTCCGCGTCCATAGAGTAGCGGCTCGTACACTTGCTGCAGGTGGCGGTTGGTCTGAGCTAGAGCGCTGACGTCTTTCTTTCGGGTAAGATGCTCGCCGAAATTAAGAAGTAACTCCGGGGGTAGGGTGATGAATGACATTTTGGCTCACTGATGGAGAGGTCCATTAGATCTTAGATTTCAAGGCGTTGAAATAGAAGGCCTCACCTTCTGAGATGGTGAATTCGAAAACAGGATACAAAGGAAATGGATTCAGATTGGTTGGAGATTTGAGTGAGTGAAAAATGTCTCGAACTGAATGAGTGGTGGAACAGATGGGCAGGGTAGTAGATGAAGAGGGAGAGATGAAGAGGGAGAGATGAAGAGGGAGAGATGAAGA